GGGATATTGGCACTATGAATTGACACTATGCCCTAAAATTTCTCCCTCAAATACCGTAAATTATTTCAAGAGAATTACCTTGTATATGACCAGAAGAAGAAAAGAGCAAGGCTGAGCTGGGACATGTCTGCTAAGCAGGCTGCTGGCATCACTCGCTGCCTAGGTAACTAGTACCTACATCCCAGCTTCAAAAGGTATGCAAACAAATTCACACCTCAGGAAAGTGATAGACCACGTCATGGTCTTAATGTCTGGTCTTTGGATCAGCAGCGTCACGTTCTTTACCCAGGAGCTTATTAGAAACACAGACTGCTAGGCTGCACCCTACACCCTATTGAACCAGAATCTGCATTTTTAACAAGATCCCTAGGTAATTCACATGCGCATTAAGGTTTTAAGAAGAACTGGTCTAGAGGCTATGATAGTGGCTTTCAACCTTGGCTGCCCTTTAGAATCACTGGAGAGGTGGGTTGCTTTTCTTAAGTTTTATTTGGAAATAGTTTCAGACTTACAGAAGAGTTGCAAAAATAGTACAGAGAGCTCCCATATACCCTTCACTCAACCTTCCATGTGTACATAACCATAGTACAATTATGAAAATTAAGATATTAACATCGGCACAATATCATTAATTAAGCTCAGTCTTTATTTGAATTTCAACAGTTTTTACCCTACTGTCCTTTTTTTTTTCCAGTAACCAACCCAGGATTCTATATTTAATTGTCATATCTAGTTAGTTTCCTCCAGTCTGCTCTCAGTCTGTCTTTGTCTTTATGACCTTGACGTTTTTGAAGAATACTGGTCAATTGTTTTGTAGACTATTCCTAAATTTGGGTCTGTCTTATGTTTTCTCCTGATTTGATTGAGGTTATACATATTTGGCATGTGCTCACAGGGAGTACATGTTGATATGTCTTGTTACTGGTCATGTTAACCTTGATCACTTGGTTAAGGTGGCGTCTCCACTGTAAAGTTACCATTTTCCCCTTTATAATTAATAAATAACTTCAGAGAGATGCTTTGACACTGTACAAATGTTCTATTTCTCCTCAAACTTTCATCCATTAATCAATTAGCATCTATTGGTGGATATTACTTGCAACAATTATTGCTGTGATGTTCTAATAGTGATTTTCCTATTTATTAATTGGAATTCTGTAATGAAGAGCTGTTTCTTCTCCATCATTGATTTATTTATTCAACTATATTTATATCAATATAGACTCATGGATATTTATTTTATTTTATTGTTACTTATTTTGTTACTCAAATTGTTCCAGCTTTGGCCATTGGGAGCTCTTTCAGAGAGGCTCCTATGACCTTTTGAATTACACCCATCCCTCACTCTCTTTTTTCATGTTATTTTTATTATAGACTTTTTATTTTTGGAATAATTTTAGATTTACAGAAAAAATTACAGACAGTACACAGATTTCTGTATACGCTTCACCCAGCTGCCCCTAATGCTATTGGTACATTACTGTTAACTGAACTCCAGACTTTATTTAGATTTTGCTTGTTTTCCCACTAATGTCCTTTCTCCATTCCAGGATCCAATCCAGGATACTTACTGCATTGAGGCCTCTATCCTTTTTTGAGCAGATCCTCACTTACCACAAGATGCTCCAGACTTATATTTCCTCTGCTCAGTCCTGGAATAAACCACTTCTCTAAGGAGTCCCACTCAGGGAGTACTGAAAAATCCAAATGCCCAGGAAGCACTCTAGATTAAGTCAGAATCTCTGGCTGTGAAATCCTGGCATTTGCAGTTTTAAAAGCTCCCCAGGTGATTCCAGTGTGCATGTGAGATTGAGAACCACTGATCCAGACCTTAGTTCTGTAGCTAAAGAATAGTTAAAACTATGAATGGTAAATCCCCAAATGCTAAAGACTTAAGCATATTTCCCGGCAGGCTCTTATGCTCCCTGAAGACAAGGGAATCTGTCTTGTTCACCTCTAATCAGCACCTAGCCCAGAACCGAGCACATAGGAGGTGCTCAGAAAAGCCATATGAATGAAAACTGAACAAGCGAATTGAGCCTTGCCTTCCTCAGTGAAATGAGCCTCAGCCTGACTTCTTTTTTCCTAACCCCAATTTATTATACATTAGACCTTTTGGTTGCTCTGAGTTTTATGCTGAACACCTATTTCCTAAAATCTTGAGTCAGTGCTAAGGAAGGAACATAAAGGCTGCCCGCCACAAATCTTTGCATCTCCTCCCTGGCATGACATCATGCTGGCTTCCCCACACTGGGTCTGCTGTCAATTCCCCTCATTTGGGTCCTCTTCTGCCCTCTTTTACCTCCAACAGCACTTATGGTAAATGCATCAAAAAAGGTAGCACCAACACCTTTATTTCTTTTACTTTGTCCCTCCTCCCTTTTTCTAGCCTGCTCAACGCCTCAGCGTTTTCTGTAGCAAAGTACAAAAGGCGCAGGCTCTGGAGCCAGCCAAACTAGAGTCAGGTCCCAATCCTCCCACTTAGTAGACATATATAGTTGGGCAAGTAACTGAACCTCTCTGAGTCTCTGTTTCCTAGTGTGTAAAATGGGGATAATATCACCTACCTTACAGGATTGATGTGAGAAGTCAAGAGAACATGTTTGCTAATCTAGAGCACAGTGTGTGCTCAGAAATGGCAGTTGTGATAGTCATTCTTGTTATTATTATTATTGGTAGTGGGGATCAGTTTCCTGAATCACACATTCTTCTTTGGAAGGGATAGGGCAAGGCAAATGAATTCTGTAAAAGAAAGCAAGAATTCTACCCTCTGTCCAGGGTCTAGAGTAACTTATAGAAGTTCATTTAGAATTTTCAGAATTCACTGCAGGCATTTAGACAATTCAGAGGAAATGGTCAAAATTGCATAAAGCCAACCTCAGCTAAAGCAATTACCTGCTGACACCATCTGTTTGTGTAACCAACAGATAAAAATAACTAAAGCAGGGGGGAATACATTGATATCTTCAGAGTGCTTTTGTTTGTAACATCTCATTTAACCCCTCCCAACCTCATAGTGGCTATTTTGACCATTTTACAGATAAAGAAACCAAAGTTATATGATACTGTCACTGAACTAGCAAGTGATAGAGTCAAAACTCACGCACAGGTCTTTCTAGCTCTGACATCCTTGTGGTTTTTTTTCTTCTGTGTAAGTTTATAGGTGTCAGAAGAGCACACTTACCTCCAGGTCTGTTTGAAACGGGAGTTTTAAGGAAAAGCCTTAAAAGACTGAACTGCCTCATTGAAGAAAACATCAAATTAAAAAATGGGTGAAGGGGGTCAAAAGGTACAAACTTCCAGTTATAAACTAAATAAATCATGGGGATGTAATGTACAGCACTGTGACTATAGTTAATAGTACTGTATTGCATATTTAAAAGTTGCTAAGAGAGTAGATCTTAAAAATCCTCATCACAAGAAAAAAAAATTTTGTAACTATGTATGGTGATGGATATTAAGTAGACTTATTATGGTGATCATTTTGCAATATATACAAATATCGAATCATTGTGTTGTACACATGAAACTAATATAGGTTATACGTTGATTATACCTCAATAAAAAAAAACTCAGATGAGGCCTCTTCATCTTCTCCCTTTGGCTTAGTGGAGAAGTGTTTTCCTGGCAACTTGTTTGTCCCACCAACTAATCAATCGTCAACTAATTAACCAATCAACCAACATGCTTAGCCTACGCTAGGGGCTGTGGGGACACGAGGAAAGATACCCAGACTCCTCCCCTCCATCAGGCCAGTGCAGGAAACAGAAGTAACCCACCGAAGCAGAGTACATGGGGTCATGGGTCAAAGGAGAGAGAAGTCGGGGAAGGATCTATACAGGGGGGACCCATCTGGAATGATGATGGGAGGATGGGCGTGGGATGGGGAAAGGAACTGGAGATGGTACTTCTGGTGGGAAGTCACAACAATAAAGGCAGGAGGTGGAAATGAGGATGTCATATGCCAACTATGAAGACAGAAGCCACCTGTGGTCCATATTTGTTTTCAAGGAGAAGTGAGAAACAGGATGGGGGTCTGAATATGCTGGGTCATGAAACAAACAGCAGATCTGAACATCAAGTGCTGACCAGTTGGGAGCTGTGAAGGTTTATGAGCTAGGCAAGGACACCATAAATTTGATGTTTAAGCCAGTTCTAAACATTGCAAATCACCCTAGCATTGATTTGTTGCTTGATTTAAACTAACTAGAATAATTAGTTCTCATTGTTAAAAAAAAAAAAAAAAAGACAGAACTACTCAAGGCTTCCACCAACGCTGCAAAGTGCCCAATACTTTGGAGTATTAAAATTAGAAATTTCTCTTAAATATGATTCGACAAAAAGAAACATCAAAGGCTAAGGAGCTGCAATTTTGGAATAATAAAGCATGTAGGTACAAGCAGCCAGGAGTGAAGCAGAGAAAATTATGTAATCTTACTGGCAGGGAAAATGCTCCAAACCAAATATTTTTTTAAATGCTATGGAGTACCTGACTGCTACCTTTTCTGCAGTGACCAAGAGAGAAATCTAATTTTTAACCCTATCAAACCCTTATGATAGGGTTTGGCCCCAATATTAAGGTTGCAAATTATGTCTTTTTATTCATGTTTATTTTGTTAGAATCTTTATTTTACTTTAACCTATCCTTACAGTTAACATCTCCAAGGCACACACAGAAAACTGAGATAACCATGTTGCGCATTTTAAAACTAAATAACAAAATGCACTGAGTTCTGCTAACCTTTAGACTATTGGTTTTGATGTTTTATCTTGCTAGAATTTTCTGTGGACATTAGCAGAGAGATTTCCAAACAGAATGCAGGCCTTTTCATTTCTTTGGGATGCGGGGATGGAGGTTTAGGAGGTGAGAAACCTTTTTTAAAACAGACATAAGATGTTCTATGCATATGTTGCAACTCAAAACCCTGGGAAAGTATTTTTCACATTCTTAACCTATATTTGAGTCCCAGACTATTGGCTATATTCTAATTCATACTTACCTATGAGCAAACATGGAATCGAGGCGTAGAAAAACCACATGATTTGTCGAGATTTCTTCTAGAACCATCGGGAGGGTCTGTGTTTGGCAGACTCAGCTTGACCTGGAACACTGTTTCCTTCCAGAATGAAGCATTCTGTCCATCTCGGCCATCGTTGCCTCAGAACACAGATGTGGGAGCTGAGGTCTGAGTTGCTGTGAAGCCTGAATTGTTCTGGAATGAGGAGCCGGCCCAGACAGCTCAGAAGGGGCGGGCTGTGCAGCACCCTCCTTTCTGCCCAAACTCAGGTGTTGCCACAGGGGGCGTGGCCTAGGAGAGTTCCAGAGGAAAGGTAACTCTGGGGAGCTAGAGAATCTACATGGAGGAGATCCTTAGACCATAGGGTCTGTCCTGAGGGACCCTGGCAGTCCTTAGAGGCCCCATTGGCAGTGAGCAGGCAGGATTATCTTACCTCTCATCAAATAGCTCTCCTCTTCCAAGTCTCCATCTTGTGATTCATTCAAGCTGGGTACTGATTAGCTCTTTTTACATAGCTTTTTACATAGCTCTACATACCCACTTCAAAAAAGTAGAGAAGTTAAAAAAAATTTTTTAATACCTTTAAAAAAGTCAGGGGTGAAGAAGAATATATAGCTTCATATTTGCTTGCATTTGCAAAAAGAAAACCTGGAAGGAGACATAGAAACTAACAAGATTGGTTACCTTGGGGCAGAGGGATTGGGAATTGGGAAGATGGAGAAAAATGGGAACGAGACTCTTCACAGTATATCTTTTTGTTTGGTTTGTTTGGGTGGTTTTTAAATTTTTTTTTTTATTGTGGTAAAATACATATAAAATTTACCATCTTAACCATTTTTAAGTATACAGTTCAGTGGTATTAAATACATTCAAATCTTTGTGCAACCATCACCACCATCATTCCCATAACTCTTTTCATCTTGTAAAACTGAAACTCTATACCCATTAAACAATAACTCCCCATTCTTCCCTCCCCCTAGCCCCTAGCAACCACTATTTTACTTTCTATCCTTATGATTTTGATTACTCTGAGCACCTCATAAAAGTGGAATTTTGCAGTATTTATCTTTCTGTGACAGGTTTATTTCACTTAGCATAATATCCTCAAGGTTCACCCATGTTGTAGCACATTGCAGAATTTCTTTCCTTCTTAAGGCTGAATAATATTCCGTTGTATGTGTATACCACATTTTGCTTATCTATTCATCCATCTATGGACACTTGAGTTGCTTCCATGTTTTAGCTGTTGTGAATAATGCTGCTAATGAACTTGGAGGTACAAATATCTCTTCAAGACCCTGCTTTCAATTCTGTTGGGTCCCGTATGTCTTTTTATACTGTTTGATGACTGAACCATGTGAATATATTATTGAAAAACTAAAAACAATTTTAAAAAGTGGAAGGAAAATCTTATGATAGGGTTTGGCCCCTTAAGATGTCAGCTTTTTAAAGAGCCTAAACACTCGACATGTGCAAATGCATTAGTGGAAAGAACATGGGTTTTAGAGTGCAACAGGTTTTGGTTCCAGTTTCAGAACTTATTTGCAATATAACCTTGGAACGTTAATCACTTAATAATTCATTAAACAAATATTCACTGAGGGCCCACTATGTGATAGATCCTGGGAATTCAATAGTTCCTGCCCTCAACCAAGAACTTCCCAATAGTGGAGAAGATGGACATGGGAATAATTATAAATCAATGTTGAAAATGAAGTGACAGAAATATTCACAAAGGAATATAAGAGAATTAAGGAGAAATACCTAACCCAGCCTACGGGATCAGAGAAGGCTTCCTGGAGGAGGTGACTTTTGGGCTGAGTATCAAACACTGAAAAAAATTAGCCAACCATGGTGTGTTTAGGAAACCATAAGAAGTTTGGTGCAATTAGAAAGCAAGGTTAGAGTGGCAAGAAATGGGGCTTAAAGGCAGACAGAACAGGATTCCAGAGAGCTTTGAATGCCTTGTTGAAGAGCTTAGAGTTTACCCTGAGAGCAATGAAGGTCATAGGAGGGGTCAAAAGCTCAAATCTGATTATGTCATTCCCTGCATTTGAGCTTTAAAAAGTTTATGATTAGGGTGGAGAAAACAATGGAAGGGGCCAGACTGCAGGCAGGAGGGCCAGGAGGGAGCTGTGTCAGTTAGCTAGGTGAGAGATATTATTGGCTTCCACATATCTGTAGAGAAGTAACTAAATTCAAAAGATGAAGGAGGTAGAATTGACAGTTCCTAGATATTGAGAGGATTGGGAGGGTGGAGGAAGAGAAGGCAAACATGAATTTCAGGTTCTAGGTTTGAGTAACTGGGTGGATGGCAGCACCTCGACCAAAGTAATGGAAAAAGGAGGAGGGTGGGGTGAGGTCAAGGCAGGCAGGGGTGGGGGTGGTACAGAAAAAGGTTGCATGTGTTCAGCCTGATGCACTTGAATTTGAGATGCTTACCTGGGGGGGAGGGTGGTCTCCAGTATGTAAATGATCTTTGTCTCAAGTTTATGTGTCAAGGGTATGGCACCATTTCCCCTACCTTCAGCATTTCAGTGGTTGCTGAGACCAGGAAGTGGGTAACATTGAAGGAGAGTATGTAGATTAAGGAGGCATGTGGATGTGTTCCTGGAGAAGACCCACATTTAAGGACCAACACAAGAAAAAGAAATAGGGAGATATAGGGGGAAAAAATAGGTCAGAGAGGTGGTCCTGGAACAAATTATGGTCCTGGAAATGATGAACGATGGAGTGATCGTCAAGGGAGAGTGCAGAAGAGAGAGTCATTGAGTTAATCATTGAAAAACGTCCCCTGGACTTAGCACCTGGAAGGTCATTTGTAATCTCAGTAAGAAGAGTTTCAGTGGAGAGCTTGAATCAGAAGTGGATAGTTGTAGGTTGAGGAGCGGATGGGGAAAGTAGTGCTCTTTTGATGTGAAGGGAAAGAAATCAACTCCAGGAGCCTCGTTTTTTCACTTATAAAATAGATACAATGATGTCTTGCATAATAGTTGTGGGAATTAAAGAATGAGAAGCTTATTATCACAGTGCCAGGGATACAGTAGGTCTTCACAAATTCTGTATTAACCATTTATTATATTAATAATATTAACAATAAATACATTAGGGATTATTTGCTCTGACTGGCTGGCCCTCTGTGGGCTGCGCATCCTTCGATTTGGCCCCTGGATCAGCAAAGGAAGGCTTCCAATTGGAGATACCTACTAGAGGGTAGTAGCTAAAAGCATGGGCTCTGGGGCCAGGCTGCCTGGCGTGGCATCCAGGCTCTGCCGCTTATTGGTTGTATTTTAGGCAAGTCATTTAAACAACTTGTTTTAGTGTCCTCATTTGTAAATTGGAGACAATTATAATAGTACCTAATTCATAGGGCTGTTGTGAGGACTAAATGAGATGGTACAAGATCTAGGAAAGTAAGTGTACAGTAAACATTAGCTGTATATCTTTTTGCTACACCACTGTCAAGAAGACTTGGTGCATGCTCTCCTTGATCCCAGCACTGTGAGTCATCTGTGCCCTGACCTCTGGTCACCAGCTGTTTGTACAGTCTCCCAGTGCTCCCCTGGCATCTGATCCTGGCTCCACTTGACTTTGGGTCTGGACACACCTCAACTTGGGAGTGCTTCATCCATGCTGGCCTCAACATCTGTCCTCAGTCTCCTGGCTTCCTGATTCCTCTGTCCTAAATCCACTTCTGCCCACAGTTTCCACATGTTAAAAGCCAACAATAAAGGCCAATGTGTACTGGATATGTATTATGTGCCAGGAATTGTCCTACAGGCTTTCCATAATTTATACATTTCCACGTATTATACAACAGACTTTCAAGGTAAGATCTGATTCCCAACTTTTCAGATGAGGACACAGGGCTCAGAGAAATTTATTTACTATAGATCACAGAGCTATTCAGGGATGGAGACAGAAATTCGAATCGAGGTCTGCGTAACTCCAAGTTCTTTTCACTCTTCTTACTGCCTTCCAATTAGCCCCAAAGGAGGGCTCACAACGTGTCCGAGGGGCATAGAAGAGTGAGTGATCCAGATTAGCAAAGGCTTTAGAGAATAGACAGATCCCAATATGGAGTTCCAAATATGTACCCATTTAGATTTGGGTAGGAGAGATGCATTCACAGTTTAGCATTCCAACTGGGAGAATGGCAAGAGCAAGGCCCAAGGATGGAAAGGTTGAGAGGAAGATTAAGAATGAAAAGGAAAAGGTAAGTAAGTAAAGAGAAAAATGGGAGGGAAAGAACAAGACTCTTCAGCTATGCCGTGGGGGAAGAAGGAGAGTTGTCCACCAAAGCTTGAGGTCTTAAGATAGTTAGCTCTACGTGGGCATGGATCCTTGTCAAGATGCCCCTGACCAGCACTGCCATGCTGATAAGGCAGTACTGCCTGCCAATCCTTCACAAGCCACTGCAAGGAAAGTCTCCATCCTAGGCTCAGCACACCTCAAGGGACACTGAGGGGTAATGCTACCTGCCCATCACAGCTTTTAAATGACGGTCCCGCTCAGGAGTAGTTCATGACTCAACGAGGAACTCAGACCATCCACCTCTGCTTGGCCCACACTATCGGGTGACTTCAGGAGGGCTATGCCTTACCTGCTAGCCCCTACCCTTGCCTGGACATCCCTGACTCTGATCTTGCCTTTCTCTTCTGCCTTTGAGGTACTTCTCTTTGTATACCTTCTCATCAGCTGGCTATGATCTTTTGCCTACGCAACATGCCAAAACCAAACTATCCTCTAACCTGTTGCCTGCACTTCTCAGGTTAATTTCCAGTGCCTTCCAGAGTTGAAGGATCATCTATGTCTGAAGATGAACTGCTGGAAGAATAGACCTATTTCCTATCATAAGCAGGTAGTCTAGAAACAGGAATTTTTTTCCTATTACACTATTTGCAACTTAAATATTTGATACTTAATTATGGAAGGAAAAGCAAGAAGATACGGCGTTTTTGTAGAAGGGTAAAGATGCAGTGGGGAGGTATAAGGAGGTTCATAGTCAAGGAAGAGACTCCCAAGCCCTCTGAGCCCCACAGGGCCCAGACTAGAATGAAGCGAAGGGAGGCGTTAGGGCACAAAATTTGAGGCATTCACTCTTACGTTGTGCAAGTGCAGGATATGTGCTGGCCCTGGCACCAACTACGTGGTCAATTACTCCATTCCAATACCCCTTACTTGCCCTACTTAGCACAGAATAGTTCCCTTCCCTTTACTGAGTAAGATTCCTAAATATCTATGTCCTGTGTTTTAGCACATCTAACATTTAGTTGTAACTCATCATCTTTTTTTTTTTCTGGAAGTAACATAGGGTATTTAAACAGTTGAATTCCCCTTGTCTTAGATTCTTCTAACTCCTGTTTTGATTGAGTCTGCTCCAGATGTAATTTCCACACACTTCCAAGCTCTAGTTTCCAGGGTTCTTGCAGCCCTTTTTCACCTTCTCTGAACATACTTTAGTTTTTCAATTTCCTCCAGTGCAGAACATCAGGAATTTATCCTCCCTTAAGCTCAATTCCTTCCTTAGGGTGTGATCAATTAAAACCCTTAAGGCTGTCAAACAGCCCTCCTTTCTGTAGTTACAAACTGATTTTTTTCTAAGTCACCTTCCCCAACAACTCTTAAGATGGAGAATTCGGCTTTATGCAGAAGAGCCCTATATAGTTAAAAGATGCACATTTAAATAAAACAAATACTATGTAATTCAATTTTAAACTTTAAAACCAGAAAACAATGCTCTGTAATAGTGAAGATCTTAATATAATTTTCAAATGATTTTAGTTGCTTTATTTTCACTCAACCACTGGTTTAATCCCAGTCATCAGTGATTCTATTAAGTGGAGCACACAGTATACTCCAAGGTCAATCTTATTAGAGGCCTCCTTTGATCATCCTACATAAATTAATACCCCTACTTTCACTCTCCAACCCCCTCAACCTACTCTATTTTTTCTTCAGAGCACTTCTTCATTAGACATTACATCATTAGAAATGTAAGTTTGATGACAGCTTTTGGACAACTTTGTCCATTTTCTTCACTATCATATTGCTAGTTTAGAACAGTCTGGCACCCGCGCAATCAAATATTTGAGGTGAGTTGGGTGGATGGTTGGATGACAGATAAAATATCTCTAAAAGCTATTTAAACAGACACTACCATACACATAGATACAACAGTTCAAAAAATATTTTTTTCATCTTGGTGCCAAGTGATTAGCATATGTCCTGATAAAATCAGTATTTGTTTTCTATAACATCTCCCTTATCTATAGTCTAGAAACCGTATCAAAAGTTTGTTTGTCCTTACTTGTTCCTAGAAAAGACATGCTTATTCAGGGATTACTAACTTCTTCCCTAAGGACTCAAAAAATACTAATTAATAATCATTCCTGTGTTTAGCCTAAAACAGACAACACATCAGTCTCATTCTGGGTCCCCCGGTCTCCATAATTTCCCAAAGGCTATCTGCAAATTTTCTACATAGTCTATGATATAAATTATCTCAGCCCAGAAATTTATGTAAAGGAACTATATATCTTAACTATTTTAGATGTCTATTTTTAATTGCCTATTTACGTTTGTTTTCCTGTTTGAAAGTCATTATCATTCCATGAGGTATAAGAAAACTGGAGGGGAAATTGAGTACTCTTTTTGTGTTCTGTAGTTATAACCACAAATAAAATTTGCAACATTATTCCAAAATACTGAGACCAGTTTTCCTGTGAGCTTTAAAAACAGCTTAAATTTAAAGTGGTTTGAGTGGAAACGTTTAAAAATCAGCCAGTCCAGTAGGTAAAGTTTGTGTTAAACCATTGTAGGCATCAGGCCAATTCTGAAATATTTGAGATAATGCAAGTGCTCTGGCCAGCAAACATAGTCCCAAAAAGACACTTTGGTTTAAAACATTTACCTCTGTGAACACGGCCAATAAAAACTGCTCTTCAATAATAATTTTCCTGCTCTTTAAAATCTCACCAAGTTCAATTTAGGTTCTCCTCATTAAACAAGCAAGTCTCAGCAAACTGTATATGCTTTCAGATCAAAAGAACACCTCATTAGTAACCTAGAAAAATATATTTTGGTTCCTCGGTCACTTGGTTTAACTCATGTAACAGCAAAAAATTAGGGTGTGGAGTACGCATAGTATGCTTGTCAGTGTTTAGAAGATGACAGAGTTGAGTCACATAAACTTGCTAAACCAATAGAACCAGCTTATCAGAAGAGAAGAGCTTCCTACTTTGCCTTGCATTAGAATCAAATAATGGTTTTCCCCAGAAGCAGTAATGTGGCATTTTTTAAAAAGTCCACTGGATGCTATTCAGAACATAAAATGAGGATCTCATCATCTATATCAAATGTCCTTTAAGGAAGAAGTGACTACAGTTGTGAAGCCATTTGGAAACAGTCAAAAGATCTATATAAATACAAGATTACGAAGGACCCCCCTTATCTTCTAGGAAAATATTAAAGTGGAAAAGTTAAAGCATGTTGTAATGCTACGTTCCTAATTTATTGATTTGGACATTGCACCTGAAGTGTTTCTGAAAAATGATAGTTTCCTGATTCTATATCGAAAACTTGGAAAAATAGGGAGTAACAGTAACTGCATTTGGAGATGTGAACTAGGGAGATAAGGGTTGGAAGACTTTTTTACGTTGAATTTTTTTTTTACCATATGCATTGGTGAAAATAAGAGGACATCCATCTGATAAGTCGCCTGGTGGGAATTCAACTCCAGTATTGTCCACTTCTCCTTTTTCAAGGGAACCCAGAACTCTGAATTTTATGTGAAATCCCCCAATTTTTAAATGTTAACTATTTTTTTAGGCACTGTGTGGATTGAACTGTATTCCCATTTGGTTGAACACGGCACCTGGCCAAGATGAGGGGTGGGGGAAACGGTGGTGGTGAAACTTAGACTTCACAACAAGAAGAGGGGCTGGGCTTCCTGGGCGGAAGAGGTGCCTTTTCCTAATTTTCATAGACAGTAGTGGCCCTGCTTCTTTGCAATCTCTGGATTAGACGACAGAATTAGAGCATTAAAGCTTAATTTATGTATCTCTGAGGATGACCTTATTCTAACAACCCAAGCTGCTCACCTACTAGGCCTTTATTCTTCTGGCAATGGCAATGCATTGCACTTAGCCTTCCTTCTTTGTTTAGTGATATATCTGTGATACACTGTCCTTAACAGTGCCAAGTGCCTGTGTTACTGTGTATAGTGAAAGATGTATAACATATATGTGTGAATATATATTCAGCTGAACCCTGAGGATTTAGGACCAAGTAACAGAGCAGCAATACCTTTTCGCTACTAAGTTTACATAAAGTTCTGAAAAACCCTCTACCAAGATTTTGGAAAAGTTATTTGTACAAGTGGGGTGGGCAGGATTATTTATGTGTATTTAAATTGATAGCTCAGCATCTCCTCACACGTGGAAGAAAATTTCTGTAATACTGCTCTTTCCAGGACTCTCCTCCCAGTCTAAAAACAAGCACACAGAGGGCAACGTGTCATGATACAGAGTGTACCAGGCTGGGAATAAATAAGGAAACCTGGTTTCTAATACAAATCCTGCTACTAGCTAGCTATGTTGTTCTAGTTCTTAAGAAAATTGCTTCAAGTAAAATTCATGCTTATAAAAACAGCCAATGGCGTAAGGATTGGTTTAAGACTTTTAAAAAATTGACAAAATGTTGAAGTACAAAATTAAGTAGTTCCCAGTGAGGTTTTCATTCCATAATAAAAAGAGGACACAATAGGTATTATTGGCACACATGGGCTATCTGGGAACTCTCTAGTTATTATAAACCTAATTATAGCAGAGAAATATGCCTTCTGCTTCCAGTGCTACTCCATTCCTAGCTACTTTCTTAAAAGCCTTAACATTGCTGCTCAGTGGGGTTTGCTACAAATAGCTCATGTCTGTGATACAAAGTTTTAACTGCTCTTTTTTCTTTTTAACAAACATTCTTTTTTTTTTATAAAGAAGACTGGAAAAAGAACACAGAGATGAAGAACAAAAAGAAACCATCATCGAATGTTTGTTTAAAATGAAATGAAAAGATTTTTACTACCCAGTCATTTTACAACCACTTTAAAACTATTTCCTTCAATTTATATTCAAGTGACTTTACAGCAAAAAAGGTAAGCATACATTACTTTTATTTCCATTAAACTTACCTACTAATAATCACCCTAATAAACAAAAGGGGACTGAGAAAGATAACGAAACATGAACGAAAAGGCTTTAAAAGCAGATGTAACGAAGATGAAAGACTATACATCAATATCTTAATTATATTTGCTGACTCCTGTTGCTTAGTGGGAGAAGCCAGGGCTGCCACCCAGTGGCAACATAAGTCTTTAAATGATTTTAAGATTTAAAGAATAAAAAAATATTTAAAATAAAACAAATTAAAAAACCCAAATACCTCATGAATTAGACAATTTTAATTTTAACCTCAGTAATTCTGGCGTATTAAATGTCTGTTTCTAATTATTAAGGAATGGAAACATTCATTTGCTTAGGCAGCATTGGAGAAATTTTTGAAAATATCATATGACTTCCTACCATTTACTAAGTTATGTGGTTTTAATAAGTATTTTCAATTAAAATATTGAAGGTTGCTTTGCTTAAATTTAAATCTCCAGAATTAATAATGGAGAAGAAAGCTGTGACCATAAAACACAACTTGTTTTCTTCTGTGACCTACAGAAGTTGATTCAATACTCTCTAGTAACCTTTCATCCATACACCCAAACTTCTGCTTGGTAAACAAAAACATGATGGAAGCACCTGCAAAAATAAGATTTTAAAAACAATTTTCTCTAACCATGAGCACATCTTATCTTTTCCCCAGGTATACATCAATTTTAGTGTCCCAGTCAACAAAACTCAAAGCTGAAAGGAGGAAAAGAAAATAGAAATACTATGCCTGATAATTATTGATGTTTACGGATGGGGGGAAACTAAGTATCTTATTGCCTCCTCTTACCCCAAATCTTGGCCATAGCTTTATTCCACATTGGCACAGATATAACATATTCTAATACAAGATGCTTTGGTAACACAACATTAGGGGAAAAAATAACACTAGAGCATCCATTTAGTTTGAAAAGCTAAATATCTCAGTGACTGACTGCTTTTTTCTCTTGAAAAACCAGATGAGAGAGAAGCACCAAAAAAACATTTTTCAAAATTTAGAGATTTTTGTTTCCAACAGTTGAAAATTGAAATTGTACAAGACATGTTTTCTAACCTATGTTCCATTTGTTTCGCTTTACATTGAATGAATTTTTTAAAATAATGGCAGACACAACATACTCGATATTTACAATGGCTTGTGACAAATATAATACCTGAAAATAATTTCTAATTTTCCATTTATTATTGCTATTTAGTCACAGAAAAGATTAACATTCTCCAAGAAATTTATTTTAGCATATGTCACATACTGATATAATAACTTTATATGAAGAGAAACCATTGTGAAAGTGACTAATATGGTGCCCTTACAAGGAAATAAAGGCAACAAAGAAATTCTCCCATATAAAGACTTTCAATCTGCATCATTTTTTCAAAATATAAACCTTAATATTAGAAGCAAAAACAGCAAAAAAACCGAACAGAAGACCAAGGATAAGGAAGTGCCCTATGCAGATGCTTTGCATACATAGTATATTTGTATGGGCTGAGTTATAACAAAAATACTTAGGTATTATAGTCAATTCTCATACAGAGTTAGAAACAGCAATTTCCAATCAAGTACGATTGGACCAACATTTTCTCAGTCTTCAATTACATGACGAATTATAGCTGTGTAGCAGTCACTTTTGGTCAGCAGTTATCATGATAAATGCTTGATAAGATATAATTTTTCTCCTTGTTCACTTGTAAAAATTGGTGCCTTTTTGTAATGTTCTACAAGTTCTTCCATGGTGCTGAATTTACGCTGCCCAATGCAGTAGACAGTCTCTTTTAGTTGGACTTTAAAATGCTTGTTTTTCCCTTGCGCTTTTAGTGATACTGAGAAATCATTTGGCTAAAAGAAAAAAAACATGTAGGGTTAACATACTGAAAGACATTAATTAGAATTTTTATATAAACAATAAAAGCACTTACTAAGTGCTTGAGCACTTGAGCACTTACTAAGTAAGTACTAGGCACTATGCTAAATTATTTACAGAGATTATCTCCTTTATGCCTCAAAATAAAGCCATTTTATAGATGAGAAAATCGAGGCTGAGAGAAGCTAAGTTGCCCAAGATCATCCATCTAGTTAACAACAGAACCAGGATTCAAACCCAAACAGTCAGACTCCAAAGTCACTTAACTAATATGCTCTACCTAACACCCACGGCAAATTCTTTCATTTAACATCTGAAGCACAAGAGGTATCTTCTCTCCAGTCAGACCACTGGAGAAACACGTGAAAAATCCAAGACATCCACCCCTTTTCAATCAGTAGCTAACAGTACTTACAGAGTAAGTGAGATAACACTCTCAATTCTCAAAGATGAAGGACACAAAAATGAGAATTAATGTAAGCTCTAATGAGAGGTCATAACTCAAATGCCTACAAGGGGCAAAAAAGAAATGTAAACAAGTGACACGGTGGCTAGACGGAGGAAACAACAGTGCATGGCCAGTCTAAAGGAGGTGGCCACTGAGCTGCGACTGTTGCCTTGTGGGAATACGAGCTCAATGTTGACAGGCCTTCCAATTTTATTTTATTTTTTGTGTGTGTGAGGAGATCAGCTCTGTGCTAACATCTGCCAATCCTCCTCTTTTTTTGCTGAGGAAGACTGGCCCTGGGCTAACATTCGTGCCCATATTCCTCCACTTTATATGGGACGCCGCCACAGCACGGCTTGACAAGCGGTGCGTCAGTGCGTGCCCGAGATCTGAACCAGCAAACCCCAGGCCGCCGCAGCAGAGCACGTGCACTTAACCACTTGCGCCACTGGGCCGAGGCCTTCCGATTTTAGAAAGGAGGTCTGATGTCTGAATTTTTATAATAAATCTCCGAATATTTAAATACTGACAATGAATTCAAACGTTTAAAAACATTGCGTAGGTCAAACAATATATGCCTGTTTGACACCCCTACTTTAAAAATTCTACTGCTAAAATTAATGATATATTTTGGCTAATACCTATGCTCAGTCACCTACGAGAAAATACACAGTATTCTGCAATCAAGCTACTTTCTTTCTTTTTTCTGAGGAAGATTCACCCTGGGCTAACATCTGTCCCCAATCATCCTCTTTTTGCTTGAGGAAGATTTGCCCAGAGCTAACATCTGTTGCAAATCTTCCTCTATTTTGTATGTGGGCCGCTGCCACAGCATGCCCAGCGACCAGCAGTGTACGTCCACACCCAGGCATCCAAACAGGGCCACCGAAGCGGAGCACACCAAACTGAACCACTAGGCCACGGGAGCTGGCCCTCAAGCTACTTTATTACGTTTTTTTTTTTTTTTTTAACTTAACACTCTTCTGAATGTCTATATCAACCCCAGAAGCCTCTTTTTACACAGTTACTGCCAAAGTTTCAAACAGTGGGCTTCTTGGAAACATCCCATACTTATGGTTACCCACTCCAAGGTCACTCCCTTCCTAACCCCTCTGCGCATTGCTTGTCCTGGAAAGCAGGGCCAGGTTAGGCATCCAACAGGAAACAAACCCTACTACTCTTCCCTATCATCAACCACCTACTCTTCCTCAGGGGTTTTGTACAGGCCCCATTTCCTGAATTTCACGTTGGGCAGTTCAATTATCTCCGTCTCTCCTCTCATTTCCTCTCTCCCTCTCTTACATACATACACACACACACACACACACACACACACACACACACACCACTCACACTGACAGGTTTTCTTCTGACTTTCAACCTTCTGTACAATCACACATTCACTTCTGTACAACTACATACACACAAACAAAGCCAGTACTAATCATGATCTGAAAAGTAGTGGTATCCTTTATCAAGGAAAAATAAAGGCTATTTTTAAGGGAAATGAGTATCACCAAATGCTGATATCCCAGAGAGTTCCCAAAAGAGCTCACATAATTTTCTTATTCAATTTTTATGGTTTTATAATTTTATTAGTATTAGAATAGAATTTATCTTTTATAGCAAATGCATTCAAATACAGTGAATGTTAAAATAGGTTTTTGAGGTACATAATAGAAGTGTATTTCCAACTTCCAAACGACCAATTTATGAAGTAACTTAAATATCAATTTTTTAAATTTGGGATTTCCTTTATTATAAGCATAATGGTGCATCCAATAAGCAACTTAAAACTGTTTTCCCAGCTTAGTCTATTGCATTGTTCTACTCTCAATGAAGAAGCCAGTGTTAACTTCTCAGTTTAATGCAACAGAAAATTATTTCAGGAATGCAAAACCAACAAAACTAGACAAGGCCAAATAATCCAGTGTAGTATCACTGCTAGGGCTATATTTTATTCAAAATAAATACAGTTGAAAAGAACATTGACTTTAGCTTCAGAACATGTATGCTTATGTCCCAACTTACTACCTGGTTAATTTTAGGGAAGCCACTTAACCTGTCTAATCTTCTATTTACTTTTTTTTTTTTTTTTAATACCCAGAGCTCTATTTCCATTTACCTTTGAAAATCAACTTACCGAAGATTCACTATCACGAATGAGGAAATCACCTTCACGCCCTCTTTCATTTAATGCCATTTCTGCTTGATGCCTGGTGACTTTCCCATAATACCATGGATTGCCAGCAAACTTTCCAGTGAGTGAAGGCCTAATATAATCACACTGTGGAGGTGATGGTTCCAAACCTGAGGTTAACGGATTATTCTGCATAATGGTAACATAGTTTTTGGGCACCAGACCAACCATTCCATTGATCTTCCTGCATTTCCACCACTCAGGGTCATTTTCAGGTTTTTCAATAACATCCATTACATCTCCTTTCTCAAAATTAAGTTCTTCATCATTGGATGAGCTGAATGGGTAAAGAGCCTGTACCACATGCAACACTTGCCCAGTATTTAGGTTATTGACGACTGCGGCTAATTTCTCTGACAGAGAACCTACATGGTCACCTAAAGGACTTTCACCTTCCTCAGTTACATAGTTTGAAGGGAACCATCCAACTTGTCCATTGTAGCTACCCCGCCACCACCCATCACTGCATTTCTCCATGACGATCACCTTCGTCCCTTTTATCAATGACAATTCATCCTCTCTCTCTGCCATGTAGTTAAATTTCACATAAGCAGGCATGTTGAGGTCATAGAGCCGTTCCCCTGGGTCAAAGCTATCATCAGCAGGAGATGCAGAATCTGGCACACTAGGTTTTCTTTTCACTTTTCCAATGCCTGTTTAAATAAAAAGGGGTAATGAGAAGAGAATATAATCCACTGATAACCAAAAAAACCAATTTCTTCACTATTAAAAAAGGATCTTCAACTCTGTGGTTCTTTTAAGCCTTACATTTAGATAGCAAATATCTTTCTTTCTTTTTATATCCCCATGACTTATTTATTTCATAACTGAAAGTTTGTATATATATATATTTTTTTTGGTGAGGAAGATTGGCCCTGAGCTAACATCTGTTGCAGAATCTTCCTCTTTTTGCCTGAGGAAGACTAATCCTGAACTTACCTCCATACCAATCTTCCTCTATCTTGTATGCAGAACGCTGCCACAGCATTGGCTTGATGAATGGCGTTAGGTCCACACCCAAGGTTCATGGTTTCAGATCCTGAACCCATGAACCCTGGGCTGCTGAAGCAGAGCGTGCAAACCCAACCACTACGCCACCGGGCCAGCCCCTGGAAGTCTGTACTTTGACCCCCTTCACAAATTCTCTTTTCATAACCACACACTTAACTGCAGTTATTACATAAGAGTTTACCCTTCTCATCTTTTCTCTTGTCAAAGGCCTTTATAATTATAAAGTTGTCCTAAATTAACAAATTTTCTCTTAAATGTAAATAGATTATTTCTCTCATATCTACAATCTAATATCTTAACCCATACTCTTCTTGTCTTACTTTATTAATCTAGATTCCACAATTAGCTGTATAGAAATAAAACAAAAACTGACATTACAACTTGATGTGCAAGATAAAACTCTATTTAGGTCTGGGTAATCCTCCTATTTGCTTCCTTAGTTCCCAGACCCAGGTTGCTCTATTTACCTCATATGTTTATTTTAAAATAATATATTATCTACTTGTTTGTCTCCCCTGACCCCATTCTCATGTCAGCTACACAAGGGCAGGGATTTTTGTTTACTTGGTTCACAGATATAATCCCAAGGATCTCATATAGTACTTAGTACACAGCAGATGCTGAATATACATTTGTTGAAAGAAATGAGAAAATCACCAAATGGTACTATTATTATAAATGTATGCTACATCAACTTCAGTCAGCCATTATCACTACTACTCATTTCTTAGCACAAGATTTTTTGTTCTACCTTTACCGAGAAAACTGAGGTATTCCTAGGTAAAACTTCTCAAATACCTTCTCACTATCTCAAAACTCTTTCTCATTACCCTCATTGTTTTTCTTCACCCAAGTTTCCAACCTCTGATCCTCCTGGATTCTTTTTTTTTCCTCCTTTTTCTCCCCAAAGCCCCAGTAGACAGTTGTATGTCACAGTTGCACATCCTTCTAGTTGCTGTATGTAGGACACCACCTCAGCATGGCCAGACAAGTGGTGCGTCGGTGCACGCCCAGGATCTGAACCTGGGCTGCCAGTAGCGGAGCGCGTGCACTTAACCGCTAAGCCAGGGGACCAGCACCCCTCCTGGATTCTTAACACCATCTTTCCTGCCTCTTTTGAGCCTCTTGGCCATCCTTGTTTTCCTCTTACTCAGCTCCCACTGTCTAAAAACACACTCAGATTACTTTTATTCCAAAATAAAGTTACTTAACTCTGCTACTCCTTTTAAACTACACTATTCTTTAAAAAGTGGTCTTCCCCTTTTCCTTCAACTTTTTCCCCACTCACTCACTCACTCCCAACTTCTTATAAGGTGGTCCTCTATCGCCACCATTCTACCAAAACTATTCAAGTAAAACTTATGAAAACCGTTTCACCTCTTTACTGACAAATCAGTACCTTCTGGAGTCCTCAGTCTTTTCAAACTCTCCATACAGCAACCAAGATCACAGATCACTCGCTCCATCATTTCCTCCTTCTCTAACTTCCCTGAGAGTCCCGTTTTCCCTACTGACCCGTTTAAATATTCTTATGTGCCTCTTACGGTCCCTGTCCAGTTGAAATATTCTCTATGCCTCTTCTAAACCTTATTATAAAATTGCATTGTACTTGTTCACTTGTCCATCTTCCTTAGTAAGAGAGTGAGCTTCCTGAGGGCAGAAAACTGGATCTTATTACCCTGTATCTCCAGCGCTTAGCCGTACCTACACTAATAGTAGGAACAAAGTGAAAGTCTGCTGAATGAATAAGTGAATGATTCCTTAGTTTAAAGTGTTTCCCAAGATGCCATGCTTGGACTTGCCCTCTACTTCAAGGAAACCATACACTTTCATTTTCTATAACTTCTATATAGAAGTTTCCAAGGTCTCTTTACAGCTCTCACCTCTTTCTGGAATGCAAGCACTACAATTCCAATTGTCACTAGACATCTACAGACTGTACTATCAGCACCTCAAATACATCACCCATGTCCAAATATAAATAACCTCTCCCATATCCATAATCAACTCCCTCTCTCCCAATTTCCTTACTTCTGGTTAATGGTATCATCATCCTGAAAAATCCCAACATCAGGGACTTCTGGCAGAATAGGGAATTCTAGGGCTCCATCCCTCCCAAAAAAGTAATTAATGAACTGGAAAATACTGTCAGAATCAACTTTTGCAGAACTCTGGAATCTAGTAAAAAAATTACAAAAACTAGGGCAAGGCTTAGTGAAGAAAGCAGCTGCTGCTTTGTAGTAAGACAGCACTGTGGCATTTTAAGTCTCCCGCCTACCATCTCTTACATCCCAAATCAGTGGCAGCTATGAGGACAGCAACCTGCACTCCTAATCCTAGAGGGAGCAATACAGATCTTATTCTCAAAGAATTGTGATTGTGGGTTGCAAGCTGTCTGGTAGCTATCTGAAAGACCAGCACACTGTCTTGCGTTGGTTTCACTCAACTTGGAGAATTCCCAGGGCTAGAGTGTCTTTTACTGACATCATTTAACCGATGAAACAGCCTGGGGTAAGGGACAATAACTGGGACAAGGAACAGACAGACTGAAAAACTGGGAAGAAAACATTTGGGAAAGGATATATGTGTGGTAATAAGGGCTTTTAAAAGCTCCTGTGTATAACAGAGAATCAAGAAGAACACGCACATAGCCAGGGCTGGACACATGCTCAGCAAAGGCCTGAGAAGACCCTAAGCTTTCACCTATGCCTGACCTTCAGGATCTGAAGAAGCAGTAAGTGGAGGCTAAGGCATAGTTGTAAATGGCCTGGCTAAGTGCTGGAAGAGTATTTTTTAAAATCTTTTTCTTTGGTTCCAGGTGTTTAAGGAAACTGTCAAAACACTAGCTGACAACTAAGCAAACAGAACACAGACTTCAGTGGCCACATAACAAAGAAGATAGACTTTACAAAAATAGCTTAGAAAAGTCACTAAACAAGCAAACAACCACCACCCATAAGAAGAAGCAACAACAAACCCCAGGGAGGGGTAGAATCTGATGCTGAAAGAAAAACTGTCAATCAAGAATTCTATAATAGCAAAACTATCCTTCAAACCAAAGGAGAAATTAAGACACTCCCAGAAAAACAAAAACTGAAGGAGTGTGTCACACTACACCTGTGCTACAAGAAGTGCTCAAGGGAGTCCTCCAGGCTGAAATGAAAGGACACTTAACAGTAACTTGAAGTCATATGAGGAAATAAAGAACAATGGTAAAGGCAGCTACATTCATAAATATAAAACCAGTAGCATTACATTTTTGGCTTGTTAAGTCCTCTTTTTTTCCTATATGATTTAAGATGCAAATGTGTAAAACAATAATTTCAAATCTAGGTTAATGGGCACACAATGTATAAAGATGGAACAGTAAAGGAACAGAATTTTGAATACTATTGAAGCTAAGTTTGTATTAGTTAAAACTTGATTGTTAAAAAATTAAGATGTTTGGGGCCAGCCTGGTGGCATAGTAGTTAAGTTTGAGCGCTCCGCTTTGGAGGCCTGGGGTTCACGGGTTCGGATCCTGGGCACGGACCTATGCACGGGCTTATCAAGCCATGCCGTGGCAGGCGTCCCACATATAAAGTAGAGGAAGATGGGCACTGTTGTTAGCCCAGAGCCAATCTTCCTCAGCAAAAGAGGAGGAAAAGAGACCTAACAGATATATATTGAACACTGGTAAACAACAGCAGAATACACATTCTTCTCCAGTGCACATAGAACACTCTCCAAAATAAACCATATGTGAGGCCAAAAGAAAAGCCTGAATAAATTTAAAGAGACTGAAATCATATAAAATACCTTCTTTTACCACAATGGAATAAAACTAGAAATAACAGAAAGGAAAACTGGAAAATTCACAAATATATGGAAATTAATCGACACACTTAAAACAACTGGTGAGTCAAAGAAGAAATTACAGGTGAGATTAGAAAATATTTTGAGACAAATGAAAATGAAAACACAACATGCCAAAACCTACAGGCTGCAGCAAAGGCAGTGCTCAGAGGGAAATTTAAAGCTCTAAAAACTCACATTAAAAAAGAGAATCAATCTCAAATCAATAACCTAATTTACTTCTTAAGGAACTACAAAAAGATCAAGCTAAACCCAAACCCAGCAAAAGGAAGGATATAATAAAAATTAGAGCAGATATAAACATAAACAGAATAGAAAAACAACAAAGAATCAATAAAACCAAAAGTTGGTCTTTGAAAATATCAGCAAAATTGACAAATCTTTAGCTAGACTGACCAAAAGAGAGAAGACTCAAATTATTAAAATCAGAAACGAAGTGGGGACATTACTAGAGACCTTATAGAAATAAAAGAGTAAGAAAACACTATGAACAACCATATGTCAATAAATTAGATAACCTAGATGAAAAGGACAAACTGCTAGAAACACACAAATTACCAAAACTGACTTAAGAAGAAACAGATGCAAAAATCCTCAACAAAATAGTCAATTCTTGTTATTCATGGTAGTTATGTTCTATAAAGTCACCACAAATATTCAATTAGCAGATATTGAACCACTGCTCCTAGGAGAAATACAGGAGCAGGTCTTGCAAGTCTGTTCACATTTTTGTCAATCAATCAAGACATAACTTTGTTTTATGTGTTTCTCTTTAAAGACACTTTAA